AGTATTTAATAGGTAAACCTACCTGGTTTTAAGATGTTTTTAAGACACTTTTATATTCTGTAATTAAAAAATCACATTTTATGCTTAATGGTATAATCCATGAACAGACTGATGTGGTAGCTATGATCCTAACCTTGCTAACCTTTTTTTGTGCTTCCACGAAAAAGTTTGATTACAGACCTGCCAATTGGTAAACATCCCAATATAAAATTTACTGTTGAAAATGATCAGAAGGACAAACTCATGTTCTTGGATGTTCACGTCTTAAATAACTAGGGAAAACCTATCAGTAAAGTGTATCATAAACCCATTTCCACTGGACTTTATTCACTATTTAAAAGCATCATTCCTTCAATTTAAAAAAAAATGTGTTTAAATTCTGTTATACAGAGCCTTTAAGATATCAGGAAATTAAATCCTTTTTGAAGCAGAAGCTGAGAACATTAAGTAAATGCTTAGAAGAAATAGTTTTCCATTGTTGTTTCTAAGTAAAATAATCCATACCAAAACTGAAAAGCTAAATATACCATCTGTTGCTATGTTAAATTTTCTGAAGAAAACATTTATTTTAGTCAAAGAACTGTATCTAAAATCTAGATAACGTGGCTTTAAAACAAAATCTAAGTTAAAAGGGCTCTTCAAATGTACAGATAAACAACATCCGTTGAATACCTCACAAGTGGTATAGTACATGAGTTCACTTGCTCAAGGTGCAACCATGGTTATACTGGATGAGCTGCTAGGATGCTCAGCAGTAATATAAAAGAACACTGTAATGCTTAAACCCACAAAACCAGAACTAATATCAAATATGGTCTAAAAGAATGTTTAGTGTCTGCCTACAGTTTTCTCTGCATCATTTTCCATTCATGAGAACAATGCTATAATCTCTTGCTATTAAGCTAAGTAAATGAGCTCTTAACCAGAAAATGAGTGCACTACCACTAAAATTTCAACTGTGAAAATGTAAAGCAAAGAACAGAATGTGAACTTAGACCATTGAACACAGGGAGAAGTTAAATATTATAATGTGAATATGGGTTCTGGTTCAGACTGTTAATGTGTTTTATAGCTAGTTTCACAATGTTTGTTTGTGAAAGTACAGAAAAAATAATAAGTTCCTGGTGAAGCTCAGAAAATGTTTATGTTGAATGCAAGGAAATAAACTCATGAATAATAGTAATACTTACAAGTTTGATAGAAGTAATTGAAAGCTTCAATTAGCAAAGTATTTCAAAATTTTCATTAAAGAAACCAATAGTTTGGCTAAAATTTCGTTCTGCTTTATAGAATAAAGGCAGCAAAAATAGGAGCCAGGAAACAGGCTTAGCCAAAAGACAGTAAGAGAAATACCAGTTCCTTATATTAACTGCATCCACCACAACTGAATACAACTCATTCAAAAGGCCAACAACACTGTTATCTTAGCTGAAAATGAATCCTACCCTAAAAACATTTATATTTGTCTCCTAATCCTACCAATCTTACTTCTTAAACACCTCAATCAGGTCCTCCCTAACTCTTCTTTCTCAAGAGAAAAAATAATTTCAGAGATCTTAACCTATCCTCATATGAAAACCTTTCCATCCCTGGTATCATCCTAGTAACCCTCATCTGAGTCCTTACTAACAATTCAATGTCCTTTGTAAGGTAAGGAGCTCTAAGACTGAATACATATTCCAAATTTGGTCTAACCCATGACATATACAACAAAATTATAACCCTTTTAGACTTGTTTTCAATATTTTTGTTAAATTTAGTAATCAAAATTATTTAGTTGATTTTTTTTGTTAAATTCTCTGTTATAAAAAATTACAAGACTACTTTTAGAACTTTTTTGTGTTCTTTTTGTAGGAACATAAATATACTGTTTACATTTCCAGAAAATGTACATTTGAGACTTGAACGTGTATTTAAAATTTTTATTTCAGAAAGTAATAAAATTGTATAATACTTTACTAGAAATCCTTATCATAATGTTTTATCAGCTTTCACTGAGTAATCATAACCAAAGAGGTGTTGAAAAAGTTTAAATTAGGCATTAAATTACCTTATCTTCCCAATAGTTCATCTTTCCTTATGTCTAATACAAAATATAATTATCTTTAAAACGAATAAGATGAAAAACCATTTCTAACTTATCAGTCAAGAAATGTTAACATTTTCTTTATCTAAAAATTTCCATACACTTTAAAGAGCTATTACCTCATGTTCACTGACATGTAACTTTCTGCATATGCCACATTCCTTGAACAAAGCTTCCACACCTACAAATGTCAACATGTACTGCACCAGCATATGATGTAATCACCTTTACACTACAGCCCTCCACCAATAGTAGGGTGACATATTCTCCATATACAGTAAGCTCCATGAGTACTAGCATTTGAACAAAGGATCATTCTTGATGAGGCAAAGGAACTGTACAGGAAATGGAGAGGAAGGGTGGGAGGTGGTGCAAGAGAGGTATCTATCTGAAATAAATTTTCAGGTATGGAAAATGTTAATTTCAGAGAGGCTACTTATCACTTTGCATTACAACATTCAGAAACTAGTGGGGTGCCCTGTACTACACTACCAGGCATCATGCCATTCCTACTTCTCCAACGAGGGGTGAGTCCATTCTGTCTTGTATTAGTCCCGAAAAGGAATTTGTCATATCAATTTCCCCAGCAGCTTGGAGGGGGGGGGGGGGCACTGGAAAGATACTTGGACCATATCATTATCAAACACAATCATCTGGTATTAGGTTCCATACTGAGAGGCAGTGCAATGGGTTACCAGAACTAAAGACAGTAGCTATGTACAGATGCAGGTTGGGTTGAGAAAGGGAATACCTAGAGTTGTGTTGGAGTGATTGAGTCACCAGGGCTGACAAGGAATCCTGGGAAAGTTTTATTTAACATTCAAGTCCACTGAAGGGGATGCATATGAGGGAGTGCTTGAGAGAGATAAGGGACTTGTGGGAAGTCAGAATCTCCAAACGTGAGAGAACCTCTTACACAGATAGAGTACGAGACAGAAGAGCCTTGGAAATCAAAATCTCAATGGCATGAAAATGCAAAGGTGATGGCTGAGCCCACCCCAAATATGAATTCAGAAAAACACCCATATGAAACAAATACTGAAGCAGGGGCCAAGACAGACTTGGAGCACTTGACTAGCCAGCAAAGATGAGACACCTTCTGAAGGAAGAGGGAAGTTATCCCTGCAGAAGCTCTTTGAGACAGTCAGCAGGAGCCAATCATCAACATAATTATGAAATTGAGGACCCAAAGAATGCAAATGCAAGCAAATACTTGCATAGCACAAATGAAAGTTTAAGGGACCATGGCTAACCCAAAGGGAATGGCCTAGAACTGAAAAACCTGATTGTTGTGAACAAACTGAAGATGTTTCTAATGTTGCTGTCTCAAAACTTATTAGCATCACTTTGGTCTTTACCAAATCATTACAGAAGAAGTGATCTGATTGTTATTGCCATTGTATCTTATTCTGCACAGTAATTGCAAAAAATGGTAAATGACATATGTGTTGGTGAAGGTGTTAGTAAACTCCTCCATGCAAAAGATAAGGCACATTTAATTCCTGTTTCTGTTGGCACTGCCCTTAGCTGTTCTGCAATATCAGATGCTAGAAAAATGATTATGAAATTTGGTGCCTTGTTTAGAAAGGCCTACAAATTAGAACAACTGTACAATAAAGAGTGTACTAAACTTGGAATTGAAAATGTAATGAAACCTCTAGCTGTTGCTCCTACTAGATGGCTCAGTTTCTTTGAGAGTCTGTGTGTTGTTTCATGCATGTGGGAAGGCTTTTTTGAAGAAGGAGGATGCCCTGAACAAACATATGTTTGACATTGAAGAAATCATTCTCACTCATCAACAGCAACAAAGAGTCTATGTCAAGCTTGTGGTTCTGGAAGAAAAGATTGAACCAGTTTTAACTGTGCAGAGAGAGAGCTTGTTTTATGCTATACAAAATGTACTACATTATGGAAGTTAAGTTTTCCATTTGCTTGGAACAGAGCACATATATTATTCCAACAGAAGAGTGTATTGTAATTTTAGGAATGCTGTCACCTAAAGATGCTGCTTAGGTGAGGCAATGTATTAATGAATTCTGTGTAATCCTGAGTGACATATAGAAAGGAACAACTAAAAGAATGTGATTACACTATAAATAAGCTATGGATGCAAGCAAGAGTGCTGGAGCCTCTCCCAAAGTCAGCTTAGAGATATGAGTGTGACAACTACAAGGAAATGTTTTCCTTTGTGGAAGACGTAACAACTGAAGTTCTGCACTAAAAATTCAGTTAATACATAGCAGAACCCTATCCAGACAATCCAGAACTCACAGCAGTGAGATTCTGGAAGAATGTTGGAGGTCTGTCAGCAGCAGCATAAACTCTACTATGCATTCTGGTTAGAAGTTCAACAGTAGAGTGTTCCTGCAGTACATTTTGCTATATTCAAGGACCAGACCACAGTAAAACGTATAAAAATGCATTCAAAAAGCAAATGATGATATATGTTAATGGATATCTGCAACCAAATTACTGTAGTAAACTGTTTTTTATGCTTTTATTACCCAACCAAAAGACAACACAATCTGGTGTCAAAACCAGAATTCTTCTTCTCTGAAAGCTTTTAATTAGTTGTACTTAAGATTTTTCAGATGAAGAAAGTAGCCAAAACCAAACCAGTCGACTTTTTTTGCACCCAACTTGTAACTTTTTCAGTCTGAGAGAGTAGTCTGTTGTACTTTATTTGTGTTTAGACATTTTTGATTTTTTATGAACAAAACCCAATTTCAACTCCAACTCTTTTGATTAAAAAATTCTACCTAATTTTTAAAAATTATTGACCCAAATTTAGAAAAACATTTCACCCAAAATTTTGAACAACTAAATATAAACCATTAGTTTAATTACAACTTTTAATACAAATATGGAAAAAATATATAAACATTTATTTAAGTACAACCAAACAAAAACATACCTGCTCCAATGCCGGGTAGCTTAGATTTATTTAGTGGATTATGTATAACATCATCAAGAGAAGGTCGTTTTTTGGAAATGTTCTCTTGTGACAGAGGGGGCAGTTGACCCTGTAAATATAGTATGTTAGTCATTAAACAACCATGCTAGCTTGAGGTTTACTAATACTAACAAATATCACTTGTGCAGAAAACAACTTGTATATAGCTCAAGTTTAAGTTATATTTTTAGACAAGCTATCTCTTTATAAAACATTTAGTGATAAAAATTTGTTTGAAAAAAAAATACATAATTATTTTTATGAACTTGTACCTTGTTTTCCTCTAATATGTCAAAAATATTAGAGTGGTCGAAGTTTTTAATTATCTGTAATAGTTTTATGAATTATCACTTTTGCAAATTTAACAACCTGAAACCATTACATTTTTACAAACTTTTCTCAAATAAAATAAATACACACTATATCACCAAACGTATTTGAATAGCACATACTGAAAGGTTAATATGTTCATTGATTGCTGTGCCATTTTAATAGAGACTGAACCCTCTGTTGATGTCACTCACAGCCCGACTCTACTACTAACACTTGCCACTATCTGTTAATATACATCTTGTGGAGTAGACAGACACTCTTCATGTAAAGAAGCTCCAAATACGTATAATTAGGGTTTGTCTTTTCTGCTTTACGGCAGCATTCCAAAACATCCCAGAGAAGTACAACTGGACTGAAATCAAGGTTCTAGGCTAGCTAATGCAGATTCTGGATACTGTTTATCTCAAACCACTTTAGGAAATGATATGGCATATATTATCATACTAAAAGATGCATATTCCTTAAAATAATATCATTATACAGTCAATGCAGCAGAGTCAAAAATGGCATGATACAACAAAGCATTGATTAATTCTGGGTGGCTCAGCTAATAGTCAACATTTTGTAGGTGCAGTGGACTTATTTTTTTTACATATTGTCCATAGGGTATTTGTATATAAGGAGGCACTCATACCACTAATGCTAAATTCACTAACATTCCTCTTTACAGGGCTGTGAAGGCTTCTTTCGTTGTCATATCTTGATTCCCACTTGCTATCTGTGAAAACTGCTAAACTTTATAAACCCTATATATCAATGCCCTGTAGGCTTGATATGGAAATTAGGTGTGAATGGAAGGAGTATGCTATCTCAGTACTTATGGTAATATAGTGTAGACATAACTTCTACATTTATATCACTCGAAAGTTGCAAATGGCTTTGTTACCACTCATGATTTTAACATTAGTGATTTATATCAACAAGTAAAGAGCTATGAATGTATAGTTTCCTTGTTATAAGGGTGTTACTTTTTTATAAAAATTAATTAACTGAAGCACATCTCTTTAAAACTGATTAATTTGGTTAATATCTTAATTATATTTTATTTAATTGAAAGTGAAATTCAGTTAGGTACTTATCTCAAGAGAAACAATGAGCTATATTGCTATATCTGTTCTCACATATTCTTGACCTATTTGCAATATATATATATATTTGTACTACATATGTAGTAAGATACCTACTGATTTGTAGTAGCTACTGGGGTCTTTCTCTTTAAGAAAAAACAAGTGAGGCAAATACTTAGTTGAAGTTAACATTTTTTTATCTGAAAATATATTTTTGATAGATACTCACTTCCAAACATAGAATAGCTTGATCGCTCATATATCTGCCTGTGAGATTTGCATGCCACTAGCCTTAAGATAACTCCTATCTACAAATCACATGTTTAATGTGAGCTGCGCTAATGCATGATGACATCGCCATACGATAATAGCTCTCTATCAATAGGAGGACAACACAATTTCCTTACACAGTAGCTCGTCATGCAGACATTCCACCTATTCTTGTGACACTTGGGACTCTTTTGCCTTTCTCTCTCTTCCTTCTGGGTGAAGAGTATGCCCTGGTTGAGACAAGATGGAGCCACTGCCATCAGGTTTCACACTCCATGGATTTTCCTTTTGTGTGCTTTTTGAAGGGAGCTTATCTAGGTTTAATGTTTGCACTGAGTCCTCCCACCAACTGTTCTACATGAAGAGGTAAGGTATAGTTTTAGAAGTTAATGTTTTCTTTGCCTGAAAATGTATTTCCAACACATACTCAACTCCACACAACTTCCCACTCATCCTCCCCACTTCCAGTGTATTTTATTTTTGCCTCATCAAAAAAAGAGTTATTTGGAGCACAAATACTTAGGGAGAAGCATCTGCACACAAGTGGTTGGTGAACCAGGAAACACAGTGTGGTTAGGGTGCAATCAGACCCTAGTGTATGTGTCTCACTTTGACAGACTGAGACAGGGGTGGCAAACCTGTCCTGTTGCAAGAGGAGGGCACACTAGCTGTTTAAGGAGTGACCTGCACTACTTTTCAGCTACTTCTAGGATTGAAGGATGAAGAACTGGGGACCAGAATTGCGGAAGTTTAGTGTTGAAAAAGTGGCAAAGGCACTGATGAGGGACATGACTAACTGGGAGCAAACCAAACAAAAAAATCTGTAGGTGGAGAGGCCACTTCATAAGTAGAATCTGGTCTGGCTGAGAGAGGCTATCCACCACTAGGTTCAGAGTACCCAGCACATGACAAGTTATGAGATGTTCAAGAATGGAATAAGCCCAAAATAGCAGGTCCAAAGTGCAGAAGCAAAGAGTCCTGGAACAGAAACCCCCTGATGGTTCATAAGAAACGACTGTAGAATTGTAGAGTGGATCATGACCAAACAATACACAAGAAAAATGTCGAAATGGGAGCATGCCCTATGAATTATGAGAAACTTGAGCATGTTGTTATGGAGTGAATGTTCCTCTGGAGCCCACATGCCCAAAGTCAACTTATCATTTGGAGTCATGTCCCAGCCCAGCATTTGTGTAGAGATGAAGATCTGGTCAGGGGAGGGTGAGGATGGCAAGGAATACCACTGTGGTATTGGCATAGTCAAGCTACAATTATTCAAGAGGAGGAGAGGGGAGGCACTCTATCAAGAACAAAGGAACTCAAGAGAGGTTCCACGGGTCTCTCAATGTATATTGAAGAAGGTTTATGTGTGCATAGTCTAAAACAATGTGTAGTTTTAGTGAAGATAGAGGTCCCAAAAGTGAAAGAATCTTGCATGCAGGCTATAAATGAGAAGCACAAATCTTAGTGATTAGTGACAAGACATTCAATTACTTGCAAGCAGAGAGATGAAGGTTGAGCCCAACTGAGATGAGAGATGAAGAACATACCCAAATGTAGCAAATATAGAGCAGGCATGAGAAAAAGACTTGGAATGCTTGACTAGTCAGCCCAGCTGAGCAGCCTCCTCCAGACAAATGGAGGTATGAGTGAAGGAGTCCTCTCAAGAAGGGGCAAAAAAAGTCAATCGTCCATGTAATAATGGAACTTTAGCTCCAACATGGTGAATGCCCCATGACTCGACTGAAGATGTAAGGAGCAGATACAATGCGAAAGGGAAGAGCACAGAACTGAAAGACTCAATTTTGATGGATGAAATGGAGAAAATGTTTAGAAGACAGGGCAACTGGAATGTGTTAAAAAACATTTGATATGTCAAACTTGGTAAATCACAGACGAAGTAAAAAGGACTACAGGAGAGAAACCCTCCATTCAGAACTGCAGGACAAATAGAAATCAGTGGAGAGATGACAGGTTGATAGCCAGATGCCAAACAGATAAAAGTAATATCACAGAGTAGGGGTAAATACTCGCTTGAAGGCATTCTTCACCATGGGATCTGAGGCTGCATCCTTGAGATGCTGAAGATAAATAAGATTGAAGGAAAGAGGAAAAGAAGAGAGAGGATGAAGAGAAGAAGGGTGAGGATCTAAAGAACCCATTTGTCAGTTGAAAATGGAGACCAAAAGCTGGTGAAGAAAGACAGACAGGCACCTTCTGGACAAGACCCAACCTGACAAGATGAGCGATTACCCTAACACTGTAAAGTGGAAGGACAGGGAGTAGGATTGGGAAGAAGAGATGTAGATCAAGCAGGCCTAGGAACAGAAACAGAAGGGAAAGGTGGGAAAAAATGAGAAACCAAAGAGGGCAATGAGGACTGATGCCAGGCCACCTCGGACTGGGTCTTCAGAGTAAGGAACATTACCAAAGATTTCCAGGTGAAGAAAAGGAGCTCAATGAGAATCACAGATCTAAGAGTGAGGTAGGTGAACATTAGTTAGGTGAACATCCAGACTCAACAATCCCAACAGTAGAGGAACCAAGTGAGGGATAGAACAGAAATAGTAGTATCAGCCAAGGTGATGAAAAAAAAAAGAGAATAAACCTCTACAGAAAACCCTTCAAGAGCACGATGAAGAGCCTAAGAAATAAAGTGAAGGAACAAGAGGTAACATAGGAGAGTGGAAAGAAAGAAAGAAAGAAAGGAAATTGTGAAAATTGGGTACTATAAAGTAAAACGGAAGTTAAGAGGTCCACTCCTTAGTAGGTAAAAGAGATTCCTAACACTGAAAATCAAGGAATGGAAATGAAGAATGGCTGTAAGTCTGGATAAAAGAGTCAAGTAGACAAGGGGCAAAAAGGCATGTTAGTATGGGTTTACAGTTGTTCATGAAAGAAGTTTGCATGGATCCTAATATTAGGAGAAGGAGGGAAGTAATTATGAGTCTAGGTTTTGTGTAATAAAGAACAGGAGGAATCGAAAGACACTGGCAAAAGAAAAGAACATACCTGTGAAATAATGTGAAGAAGGAGATTAGAAGAATGGAGATTTCCCTCCACTGACAAAGCAGTACTTAGAGCAAACCCTGGTAGGGAAAACAGCTGGTTAAAATCATTGTTGTTCTTGGCATGTTCAAACTGATGTGAAGGAACCTCAGTTGATGGACAGGAGGAGGCCCTGCATATATATAGAATCATGAAAACTGTGCACTAGAAAGTGAAATAGAAGTTAAGAGGTCTGACCCCTCAAGCAGGTAAAATGATGTTTCAAAGACTGGAAATCAAGGAACAGAGATGAAACATGGCTGTAAGCCAGAACAAAAGAGTCAAGTAGACAAGGAGGATGAGGAAGGTGCAAAGTTGTTAAGAAATGAATCTGCATGGACCTTAATATCAT